CCCCCCCCCCCCCCCCGCTGCAGTCAGTGATCCAGGAATCTATATCTTTGCAGGCTCTTCCTACACCAGGAATCCTGCAGATCAAGGCCACCTGACAAATGGATCAGAATTACAAAATGTTTTGTTTGGCTCCATATGTTCTTGGCAATGAAAAACTAAGTAACCAGAATAGTTTTGCGGTCATAACAAGGATCCCCTCAAGTCCTGCTGTGCTGCCCAGTAGCGGTGCTGGGGTGTGGAGGGATGAGCAAAGAACGTCCGGAAGGTGCACCCAGGGCATATACTCCCAGCAGGGTCACCTGAGGCCTGCAGGTCATCTAAAGCAAGCAGGCACCTCTACTGGGCAGCGGCGATGTAGAAAAACGCTGGAGCCGGATGACCACCCGGGTGACAAGGGAAAACACGTCATTTCTTAATGTGTGGGAGAAAGCAGCGGTACGCCGCTCTTTGTGCGCTCTTGATACCAAGCCAGTGCCCAGAAAACGACACTGGTAGGCAGGATAAAGTGATAGTGCCAGGTGGGATGGCATTCAAAATACTGCTGAGGAAGAGTTGAGGGTCTTTCACATTATTAATGGTGTTTATGACACAACTAAATTAAAGCCTTCTGGATGTCTAGTCTCTGACGTTGCCATGCAGGCAAAGGAAATACAAAGCTGCAAAGACAGAATTACACGGGTTGTAAGAAGCGTGAACATGGGAAAGTTCCACCCAGTGAAAGGTGAAATGACTCGGCTGCACACTGACATCTCAGGCATCAGCAAGCCGAAACGGACTGGAATCGGACACTTTCAGTTGGAAGATCATACTCAGGACATGAAAAGCAAAGAAGGAAGCAAAAGTTGAACTTTGAAGAAGCAGGTTAGAAAAAGCGTTGATGCTTTGGTATCAGGGAAGACTCCTGAGAATCCTATGGATTGCCAAGAAAACAGACAAGTGGATCCTACATACAAATCATTCCAGAGTTCTCAATTGAGGCAAAAATGACCAGGCTCAAAATATGTTGGACATATCAGGCAAAGACACAGCTCCCTGGAGAAGTACATAATGCTAGGAAAAGTTGAAGCAGTAGAAGAGAATGACCAGCAACAAGACGGATTGACTTGATTATAATAGCAACGGGTGCACTAACGGAAGACCAGAAGGGCCAGGTTGGGGTCAGATCACCCTGGAGATGGTCTATCCCCGCAGTTGCTAAGAATCAACATGGACTCATTGGTACATAATCAAATCAGTAGTGAGGACAATAACATGTTACCATAAGCCACAGTATCTGGGAAAGAAAATGAAGGCTCTCTGAAAGGCCTGGAACTGTATTTTGCCCCATTGTTATTATCCAAGATGATCATGAAATGTACCTTGGCTGCCGAACAAGCCTGTCCCAAAAGTCCCCTGTGGAACATGCTCTGCTGGAGGGATCGACTTCGGGCTGGTTTCTGCTGACCATCTTGGACTGCCTTGAAAACAGGATGGTGCAAACCTGTTACCTTTCCAGTCAAATATTGTGCAAGTAAGTGTCTTTATTACATATTAACAGCATCTGGCACACTATTAAAACTTCTCACATTGCTCGGATTTGGACATCCGGAGGGGGAGTGTTCAACGGTTGAAGAGTCAATGGATGGAGCACTTACTTCACTGGATCCATCTGCGGCATTAGTCTGAATTAAATTTCAGTCCTGCTGATTTCCCTAACGCCCCTGCCTATTCCTTTTGAGAACCTGACATAATTCCAGGAGCAGAATCACAGGCATAATAAAACTAGCATTCCCTGGAAGTCAGTTGTTTTACCACAGAAATACAACCTTGGTCTAAGAATAAAAGGAAGAATAAAACTTTCTCCTGTGGTGATAGATTAAGTTGTCTCCAAAGTTTGGGGCCTATTATCCAAAGGAACGAGAGGCAGACTGCGTTTGCTCCAAAGAAAAGGCTGGTACAGTATTATCTTGTATCACCTTTTATTAATATATATCCGTCAGATGATGTTAAATGGGTTATTCTTTTAGATGGACCTCTAAGTTGAGACAGTGACCTCTCACAAGAAGCTGTACTAGATACAGTAAACCTAAGAAATGCCATCATTTAAGAACAAAAAAAGGAACTTCAGTTGTGCTCAGTTTCTCTTTGGGTCAAATAACAAGGACTGAGTGATGTAATAAAAGCAAGATGTTTTCTTGGTATTTATTTGAAGATTCCTTCCTGGTCCAAAGGCTAAACAGCTGCAAAATAGGAAGAAACCCATCTGTAGCTGAAGTCTTAAACACCTTCAGCCAGCGCAAGAGCCCGTCGCGATGAGTGGCATTTACCTCTGTGGAAGCACACGTGGGGCTGCACAGGAAGCAAGCACCCGGTGGCAGCAGAGATACCAAAAGCTCTCCTCGCTGCGGCCATCGAGGAGGGGCCTGGAGTTCTGCTGTCCAGAAACGGGAGCCCTAAGCTAAGGCCGTGGAGGGGCATCTCTCCTGATGTTCTTCCAGGCGTATTGATGATGTTTGACTACAGTAATACTTGACAATCATAGCCCAAAAGAAAGACCGAAAGAGTAACTGGGTTTTCCTCCAGCAAGGAATAAGAGCTCCTCTGAGAAAATAGATTGGCTCCGTATTGCATTATTTGTCCACTTTTCAGGTACAGGAAATGCAGGATGATAATCGAATACAGACTCGTGAATACTTGTCCTTACTTATTTTTATACACCTTATTTACAGGTGGTCCTCATTTAGCGACAATTGAGACCAGCAACTCAGTCATTAAGCAAAGCGGTCACTAAGTGAAGCCACGACTGTGCTTATGATCTTCCTTCAGCTTTTCTTTGCTTTACAGACCTGCGAAGGTCATGCACGTGGGGACTGGTCGCAACGTTACTTTTTCATCACTGTCGTAACTGCAAACAGTCACTGTATGAGGCAGTTGCTAAATGAGGACTACCTGTTCAGCAATGAGTTGTTAAAGCCCGCAACTAAGTAAAAAGGAGTGTTCCAACAGATTTCAGGTCTATTGGGAAGACTTCGAAATATATTTATGGCTTGAAGGATGGGTTCAATTTTCATCACCCATTTATCATTTTCTGTTTGCTCCCAGAGTTCTTTGGAGTAAGCCTATTAATATTTTATTGGCGTGGTTTTATTCAATTCCTTTTCAATCATTTCAGAGCTTCAAAGATACGGAAAAGAGTTAGACATCCGTGCTATCGGCAACACGCCACGTGACGTCTTCTGAGGCAGAAACTATTATTGAAAGTCCTCATCTCCATCGCGAGCAGGCGATCCTGAAGGGCTTTTGTTTTTAAACAACTTGTATTCCACGCGCCCCCCTCTCAAGTTCACACTTCCACTAACGTCCAGAGCCCTTCCCCTCCACTCGCCTACCGCTGGCAGCGACCAGCCAGTGACGCCACACCGACTTCTTCCTTTCCAATGCTTCTGGAACTCTTTTTCACCCTAATGTACACGTAAACGAAACACAACTGGCTTGCCAGTTGGGAGACTTAAGGAATAAATATATCACAAGACCTAAGAATTTTCTGCAAAGGCAGTTTTAATCTGAGGCAAGATGCACTTCCTAATCTGCCAAAGACAGAGGAGGGACCGAGGGGTTTTGCTGCCCGCGGCCGAGATCCGGGCCGTTCAGATCGGCTTCCCTCCGCTGCTGCCCGCCGGTCGCTCAGGCCGCACGGGCTCATGTTCTGCCCTGCCCGTCGCTCCCCGTTAAATGAAGCAGCCTCAGGGAAGCCCCCGAGGCCGCCTTTTAGGATCCGTGGGCCGGCTGCGTTGGACCAGCGGGCCCCTTCCTTACCGAAGCGCTGTGACCAAGGAGGCGCCCCAGCTGGCTGTGGAAAAATAACCAAATTTTGCTTTTTCCACAATTACCCCTTTTACCCTGCTTTTTTAGAAATCCTCCGTCGCTGCCAGGAAGAGCAGCGCGGCCCTCTGAGGGCTCCTGTGGGGTCCCGCCGTCAGGCTGCCTTCCGGCAGACGTTCCCGCCGGAGGTGCCCGCCTGGGCCTCTGCAGCCCGGCGGCCACTGGGGAACGTGGGGCGGCCCATCTGGGCGGCCGCGAGGCCGTGGGAGAGATGCAGCATCGCCCCATCTCGCTAGGCTGGGGCACGCCAGGCCCCCTGCAAATGGGCGGGGCGCAGCCCTCGGGTCGGGGAGCCGCGGCCCCTGCAGCCTGCGGCCGGCT